TAAACGTCAAGGAAATCTTGCAATAAGTTTTAAATGACGCCAACTACCGTAAATAAACAATACCCGCCATAGGCAATACGACCACTTTGTTTACCAGCCCCTCTTGCGATGGTTGAAAACTTCGCGCAATAAAAATAAAGAAACATGCACACACACACACACACACAGACAAAACAACAGTTTTCCTGGCTTGCATGAATGAACGACCACGCAGATGTTTACATATTGTGAACACATACCTACTGTGGCGCACGACAGACATCTTAGGGTCCAATTCGCCCGTGTTGAGAAACGCTCAGATTGTTTTTGTTTTTACAGCGATCGGACGTACGAGACTGTTGTGTCGATGTCACAGTGGCCATCAGAGGCTTACGACGATACCCTCTTCAGGAGGCTAAGCAAAAGAAGCAGCAAAATACAAGACCAGTTAGGATCGATTGAAGACTCAAGGTACCTTCAGGTTTTTTTTACTTATTTTTTAAAGCACCCTAAATCCAGAAAGTCTGTTGTACATAACTACATTTTAAAAAGTTATTTAAAAAATACTAAAAAAGATTGCTTTCCTTTGGGAAGTAGTTTATTCTTTAATTATTGGGACAGCGCTTGCAAAGACACGGCATGTGTTGATCGATTTAACCTGGAGGAGAAGTTTGTTAAGCATAGATCTCGTATTGGTTACGGAACTACTAGTATATTCTCTCAGGTATCCAGCGTATATTATAACGTGTTCTAGAAACTGATGTGATCGAATTGTCTTGTTTTGGTGAAAGGGCGGCAGTCGTCGTGTCGCGTCCTGTTCGATATGGGACTCATAGCGACGTATACAACGCGTGTAAAATACATTGTTTATTTACATGAAATTCGAACAAGCGTTGCGTGACGATCACCGCGTTTAAAGCGACGAGCTGTATTGTTCTGCACATATACTGGGCAGTTCCATTTTATAATTGTAGGGTAAGCGGCGATTTATTTGGAAGACCGTTTAGTCGGGAAACTAACTGCTGAAATGCCAATGCCAGTAATTCATTACACTGTCGTTTTTATTACAGGAGAAACTTAATTCAGCTCAAAGTATATTATCAAGAACTGAATTATCAAAGTATTACAGAAAAACCGGCTCTCGATGTAAGTACATAGATAATTTGGTAGTTGTAAACAGTATGTAAAATAATTCATTACGGTTTAGAACTTTTGCATGTTTTTGCTCGCCATCGTTGATAGAGGGCGCACACAACACTTGTAATACAAAACAACTCGTTCTTCTGATTCATTCAAAGTTAATTCTTATATTATTATAATCAAAGCCATCCAAGAGGATATATATTATAATTCATCGTTCTAATAAGAAAAAAACATTTTTTTATAACTATTGACAATTGTTTATGGTACGTTACAATACCAATATGAACTGCATCGACAGGAAACCGGATTGCTGAGCAACTTAGGTGGTCTTATGG